AAAGTCAATCTTAAAATAGCTGGTTTAGAGAACTATGACAAAATATGGATAACCTTAATCATGTGAGCCACCAACAAGATCAACAATATTTTACTATCAATTTAATGTATTTTCTTCTTTGCAAGTTACCTTTACAAAGTTGTGTATAAATATATATTTTTACCTACAATTTATTTTAATATCTTTGTAAATTTTTTATAAACTTATATACATGATATTTTATTTAAATAGCAAGATTTACCCATTTTTCCATGTGGTATATTGAATTTAATTCAATTTCATTCTCCTTCTCTACTTCCTCCTCCCCTCTTTCTCCCAATCCTTTTGTTAAAAAGCTGCAGCAAACACCTTAATGCATTAAGCCTTTTTTCCTTAAATATATTTAGGATAAATCTCCAGAAATAGAATTACTAGGTCAAAGTGTTTTTATGTTTTTAAGACTTTTGGCACATAGTGCCATACTGCTTACAAAAACCATGATCCAAAGTTATATCATCCCAACAATTGAACAGCACCTCGAGAAGACCTCTTCCACTATCAGTGGGCCATGCATGACAAGGGCATAGACTGATGCTATCTTTATGGTTCTCCCGCAGGATATGGTACCTGTCATAGTTGATTACTGCCTTCTGCTGCAGCGAAAGTGAGTATGCATTGCCTGACAGACTTCATTATTTTGAACCCAGGTAGTGTCTTGTTTATTTATAATTCACTGCTATGAATTCTATAAATTTCACTGATTAGGTTTTTAAAAAATTAATTTACAGAAATTTGATTGTTTAGCAGCATTCGGTCCGTTCATTTAATAAAATTAACTTTTCCAAAATAGATGCTTATGGGTGTATCGTCTGTGTATCTTTGTGCCTCAATAATGGAGACAAAGAACATTAAAGAAAAGAGCACCACTACTTAGAGATTGTAAAAGTAAAAAAATGTATGATTTGTATTATATTATTTGTATATATGTATGATTTTTATTATATATATAATACTGTATATGTACATACAATTTTTTCTTTTTCCGTACATATACTATTTATGAACCATCACTAAAGCATAGTATTTCATAGTATCCAAAAAAAGGCTAGGTTCATTTTGCCTATGCCATGTTTATTTTTAGGGCCTTTTTATTTAAAATGAATCAGTGTAAATAAACCATTGATTAGGCTTTGTTGGTTTAAATAGTAACTATATAAATTAACTAACATGCTAATTCACAGTTTTTCATACTCATAATAATAGCCAGGTATTCTAAACCCTTTATATTAATTTATATAATTTTTCTAGCAACTCATCTAGTTGTTATAATGATGAATAGGTCTTATTAATCCCCATTTTACAGAGGAGGCACCAGATGTAGAAAGGAATGAAATGACTTGCCAAAATTCATACTCACAAGTTCTTGGGGGAAGGTGGGATTCAAACACAGGAGTATAGCTCCTGTATTCTTGGTCTTAAATCACTAGCTCATATCACTTCCTAAGTGGTAAAGAACAAATGTGAGGATCTACTACAGATGCTCCTAAAATCCTGTACAGCCCTGAGTTTACCCATTGACCCATGAATTTATATATGTTCTGGTACCTGGTTCTTAAAGGTTGATCATACTTTGAAGTGTCAGTGAAGAGCTGGGGATGTGGCTCACATAATAGAGCACCTGCTTAGCTAGCATGAGGCCCTGAGTTCAAACCCTAGTGGTACCATGGTGGCTTACACCTGTAATTCTAGCTCCTTGGGAGGCTGAGATTGTGGGGCAGATTGAGAGAGGAAACAGTTTGAGGCCAGTGCAAGCACATATTTCACTAGACCCCATCTCCAAAATAACCAGAGCAAAATGGACTAGAGGTGTGGCTCAAACAGGAAAGCCCTGAGTTCAAACTCCAGTCCCACCAAAAAAGAGAGGGAGGGAGGGAGGATGGACAGAAGGAAGGAAGGAAGGAAGGGAGGAAGGAATCAGTGAAGATTATCAAGAGAGCACTTATTTAACACGTCAGACCTTTAAGTCATGGATAGCTGTAGCTTCTCTTACTTGGTACTTAAATTTATTCTGGTGTTAGTTATTGTGTGATATGTAATTAGTGAAATATGTTGTATTTATGACAGGAGCATCGTTGAGAACATTATATTATACGTTGTCTTCTTTGTAAGGGCCTAAAGGAGAAATTTATTTTAGGTGTTAGGGTCAGAAATACTGTTGCATTTTCTGAATAGCTAGTTTACTTTTTGTTGATAGTGAATTGTATAGGAATTATTGCTTGGCAAAGCACCATGATACACAGTTAATCTTATCTTTTCTATTTTTGTTTTGACAATAGGGATTTTTAATTCAGAGCCTCACACTTGCTAGGCAGGCACTCTACCACTTGAGCCATACCCCTGCTCTCATGCATTTTGCCTAGAGCTGGCCTTGGACTGCGATCCTCCTACCTATGCCTTGCACGGAGCTGGGAATACAAACGTGGACCACTACACTCACCTTGTTTGTTGAGATGGGGGCTCACTAACTTTTTGTGGAGGCTAACCTCAAACGACCAATCTCCCCTCTCTGTAATCTGGGATTACAGATGTGTACTACTATGTCCAGCCCTCACACTGTCTTTTCTTTTTTTTTTTTCTTTTATTATTCATATGTGCATACAGGCTTGGTTCATTTCTCCCCCCTGCCCCCACCCCCTCCCTTACCACCCACTCTGCCCCCTCCCTCTCCCCCCCCACCCCCTCAGTACCCAGCAGAAACTATTTTGCCCTTATTTCTAATTTTGTTGTAGAGAGAGTATAAGCAATAATAGGAAGGAACAAGGGGTTTTGCTGGTTGAGATAAGGATAGCAATACAGGGCATTGACTCACATTGATTTCCTGTGCGTGGGTGTTACCTTCTAGGTTAATTCTTTTTGATCTAACCTTTTCTCTAGTTCCTGGTCCCCTTTTCTTATTGGCTCAGTTGCTTTAAGGTATCTGCTTTAGTTTCTCTGTGTTAAGGGCAACAAATGCTAGCTAATTTTTTAGGTGCTTACCTATCCTCACCCCTTCCTTGTGTGCTCTCGCTTTTATCATGTGCTCATAGTCCAATCCACTTGTTGTGTTTGCCCTTGATCTAATGTCCACATATGAGGGAGAACATACGATTTTTGGTCTTTTGGCCAGGCTAACCTCACTCAGAATGATGTTCTCCAATTCCATCCATTTACCAGCGAATGATAACATTTCGTTTTCTTCATGGCTGCATAAAATTCCATTGTGTATAGATACCACATTTTCTTAATCCATTCGTCGGTGGTGGGGCATCTTGGCTGTTTCATAACTTGGCTATTGTGAATAGTGCCACAATAACACATGGTGTGCAGGTGCCTCTGGAGTAACTGTGTCACAGTTTTTGGGTATATCCCCAAGAGTGGTATTGCTGGATCAAATAGTAGATCGATATCTAGCTTTTTAAGTAGCCTCAAATTTTTTTCCAGAGTGGTTGTACTAGTCTACATCCCACCAACAGTGTAAGAGGGTTCCTTTTTCCCGCATCCTCGCCAACACTTGTTGGTGGTGGTGTTGGCTGATGATGGTATTCTAACAGGGGTGAGGTGGAATCTTAGTGTGGTTTTAATTTGCATTTCCTTTATTGCTAGAGATGGTGAGCATTTTTTCATGTGTTTTTGGTCACTCTGAATTTTTTTTTTGAGAAAGTTCTGTTTAGTTCACTTGCCCATTTCTTTATTGGTTCATTAGTTTTGGGAGAATTAGTTTTTTAAAGTTCCCTGTATATTCTGGTTATCAGTCCTTTTGGTCTGTGTATAATTGGCAACAATTTTCTCCACTCTGTGGGTGTTTCTCCTTCAGTTTAGAGACCATTTCTTTTGATGAACAGAAGCTTTTTTAGCTTTATGAAGGTCCCATTTATCTATGCTATCTCTTAGTTGCTGTGCTGGCTGGGGTTTCATTGAGAAAGTTCTTACTATACCTACTAACTCAACAGGTATTTCCTACTCTTTCCTGTATCAACTTCAGAGTTTGTGACTGAATTAAGATCCTTGATCCATTTTGAGTTAAATCTGGGTATAGGGTGTGATACATGGATCTAGTTTCAGTTTTTTTGCAGACTGCTAACCAGTTTTCCCAGCAGTTTTTGTTGAAGAGGCTGCTATTTCTCCATCATATATTTTTAGCTCCTTTGTCAAAGATAAGTTGCTCATAGTTGTGTGGCTTCATGATCTGGAATCCTCTATTCTATTTCCACTGGTCTTCATTTCTGTTTTTGTGGCCAGTACCATGCTGTTTTTATTGTTATTGCTTTGTTATATAGTTTGAAGTCAGGTACTGTGATACCTACTGCAT